GCCACGTGGGAATAATTTAGAAACAGCCAATAGTGGGGAACAAATTTGCATGCGGGTGGCGGGAACTCCTTTGCACCGGGGTTTTCTCTTTGCAACTGAGAATTGCACCGTGCAAAGAAAGCTCCTTGTGGCGGGAAATAATTCTGCAGTGCCGAAGCGCACACAAAATCATACCCTTGGGTTATGACACCAGACAGCAGCAGATTATATTTTTTCCCTACTATGTTCAATGGGCCAGGGCCTGGGCTAGGTTTCCTAGTTTAGTACTCGTATGTAATAAGGTTTTCTATATCTTCATTACATCCAGAATAATTCTTCCATACCACTCGTTTGAAAAGCTACGTCTTCATATGTAAAGTGATTCATTCTTTTCACAATTGTTAAATAGATGTTAACCAGGGAGCCGATTTGTCTGCATTATCTTATATTTTTACATTGTCACATCTCATCGCTTGATTGTCTTTCTAAAATGGCCACAATTGTCACTCCCTATGTTCTGCCCTCATAGCAGACCTAATGACTGCTACACAGTAGCATTGTATTGTATAAACACTGCTGAGGATTTGACTGTTTGATTTCAATAAAAGTTTCACCACAGTAAGAACTGAACAAACATGTACAGAATTGGATCCACAGATTGAAATCACTAATGTGCTATGTACATTTTTTCATATACTAGTTTAAGGCTTGGTTCATTCAATCTCTTTTAGTTCTCCTTATTTGCAGTTACAGCTTTACTCACAGAACAGCTGTCTAGAGGTTGATCAGGCCCCTATATCCTTCTTAAGGCACACGCTGGGTTTGTTAGGCTCCACAGCACTCAGAGTTCTTCACAAGATGTGAAGTCCTCCTTCTCCTCCTCCAGATGGTTGTGGAGTCCTCCAACTTGGGCGGAAACCACTCAAGCCTCTTATACAGCTAGCAAGCCAATCGCTAGCTGCCACGTGGGAATAATTTAGAAACAGCCAATAGTGGGGAACAAATTTGCATGCGGGTGGCGGGAACTCCTTTGCACCGGGGTTTTCTCTTTGCAACTGAGAATTGCACCGTGCAAAGAAAGCTCCTTGTGGCGGGAAATAATTCTGCAGTGCCGAAGCGCACACAAAATCATACCCTTGGGTTATGACACCAGACAGCAGCAGATTATATTTTTTCCCTACTATGTTCAATGGGCCAGGGCCTGGGCTAGGTTTCCTAGTTTAGTACTCGTATGTAATAAGGTTTTCTATATCTTCATTACATCCAGAATAATTCTTCCATACCACTCGTTTGAAAAGCTACGTCTTCATATGTAAAGTGATTCATTCTTTTCACAATTGTTAAATAGATGTTAACCAGGGAGCCGATTTGTCTGCATTATCTTATATTTTTACATTGTCACATCTCATCGCTTGATTGTCTTTCTAAAATGGCCACAATTGTCACTCCCTATGTTCTGCCCTCATAGCAGACCTAATGACTGCTACACAGTAGCATTGTATTGTATAAACACTGCTGAGGATTTGACTGTTTGATTTCAATAAAAGTTTCACCACAGTAAGAACTGAACAAACATGTACAGAATTGGATCCACAGATTGAAATCACTAATGTGCTATGTACATTTTTTCATATACTAGTTTAAGGCTTGGTTCATTCAATCTCTTTTAGTTCTCCTTATTTGCAGTTACAGCTTTACTCACAGAACAGCTGTGGCATTTATCTTGTAATGACAACTATTTGATAATCATGACAAAATCCAGATTTGTGTCCTTAATGCTGAAGTCTACCCATATTTTTGAAAAGAACTCTTAAAGAACAACAGTATGCAGCAAATGAAAGTTTTACCTTCACTTTTCAATAGGTTTATTTTCTCAGTGAGTGTGGGCTCAGTGCAGACTGACAATTTTTTAGCTTATTGGAGGTTGTTCATGACCACATACAGCAGTTTTTTGATTTATTTATTTTTACTGGGTTTACATAAGTGTACAGTCAATATATTGAAAAATTTTGTTATATTTCAGCTAGTATTGTGGATATTACTGCAATGAATTTAATCCGTGGGTTACATATTGTAGACAATGCCCACTGAAATCAAAATGTTCCTGGGAGTCTTTCCATTACTGCAGAGAAAAACAGGAATCTACTTGCAACTACAGTGACATTACTAGTAAGAGTGGTTTGAAAGATAAGTATTCTATGTAGTGAATCCTATTAGAGTCGTGGTCATTTTTTTGTTGTTGCAGGAGTGACCTCTTGAGTCTTGTTCTGATTTCAATGAAAGCTTTGCCTCCTGCATTCAGGAGCCTTCATCTCCTAGTTGACATTTCAATTGTTCCAGTGGAATGCAGCTGCATGGGAGGTCATAGTCATGGAGGAACTGGCAGCCTCTCAAGCAGCTCAAACTAGTCCCATCAAGGTCATTAAATATTGAAATGAAGGTATGGGACTGGGCTCTACTTTTAGCACAGTGCAGAGCAGAGTGCATCCCGCAGCTTCTGATAATTCGTTGTCCTTCCATTCTCTTCTGCCCATTTAGGGCTGTGGCAGTATTCTCAACTTTTGCCAGTGTTTAAAGACAGAATGCTTTTCTTTATAAGCATTAGCAATTGTTAAACTCTTTCAAGACATTCTGTGAACATTTAATATCATTAAATCTTGTTAGACAGATTCAGAGTTCAGCCAAATAACAAAAAGGGAAAGTTTAATTTTCCTCTGCCTGCCTTTCGGCTCACATTTTTCCTTATTCTCTCCCTTCTTCCTTAGTTCTTCACACCTTCAACTTCATATCTTTTTAATCTGTTCTTACACCTGGGAAATTCTTCCTGTGTTGTCTGCCAAATATCTTATGTGTTCTTCGTTCCATCCCTGCTTAATACCCCTCACTAAAGCAGAGGTCTTCCTTTCACCTCTCTTGACTTCTGTGCCTTATTTTTGTCTGATTTATGGTCCAGTCTTGCAGGCATTTAGAAGGAGGGTAAATTTATGCAATGAGCTACTCACCCTTTAGCTGAAAAAATGGGGTCTTTGTTTTGAAAACTTTTTATGACAGAACACTTTTATTCTATTAAGTACAATGTTCATATATGGTGCTATCACCCATGAACCCATAACTTTTCTATAATGATAATTTGTGAATTTATAAAACGATGGTAAAGACATAAAAATAAGAAAGCATTTTACTGTCTTTTCTTGAGCCTAAGGTGTGTATACCATGGTCCCACAGATTTTTTTGTAATGGTGCCTACACATGTGGGTTTTTTTACTATCAATGATTTAATAAAAGCAAATATAATACCCACTACATGTAAAAATTCTGTCTTTTATCTTTTAGCGTATAAAATTTTCTGTTCTAGGAATACCAGAAGTCTGAACTTCCTGAGTACGTAAAGATAATAGAAGTTGGGCCCAGAGATGGATTGCAAAATGAAAAGGTGATTTTTATACAGATAAAGCAGCATTGTTATAATTTGCACAATGTTTTTATTCTAATGTATCTGGTTGGCTATTATACGTGGATATTTAAATGCAATGACAAACCACAGCTTCTGCTTGTTGTGTTAAAAGTTTGCTTTGCTTTGCTATTATATTGCTCACCATCTATATTTCTATTGCTAGTTGAGTTCAGTAGCTGTGTTGTGGACACAAGCTAGTAAGTGTTCATGCCATGCCTCACACAAACAGGCACCAACCAACCCTCATTGGGTCCTTCAGTGTGACTGTAATAATAAAGTTTCTGTGCAACGTTTCTGGTTTCAGATATAATCCACCTAAAGTTGTGGGATGGGAACTGGATAGTGTCTTTATATAAGGGGAAGAAAAGTGAGCTTTATACAATTCCCCTGATTCTTCACAATACCCCAGAATTGGCTGTTGTTTCCACCAACAGTATAGCAGACTTGTGCATTATTCTTACTTGTTCCCTTGCCATGACTGGAATATTATGATAATGAACAAATTAATTACTTCAGCTTTTTGGCTTACTTGTAACTAGTATGCCATATTAGAGCATACAAATAGCGACTCAGAGTTTTGTTGGATATGGTGGAATATAAACCTAAAAATAAAATCAAAATTAATAACAAATATTAAGGACAGTAACTGATTCCTAGGTCCCTTCCTATTTGGGAGACACTTCATTACTATCCCTGCTGTTACTCATAAACCCATTTGTGAGCAATATGGAATGGTGTCTTTAGATTTCATTGCTCACAAAGAGTATCTGGTCATGGTTTAAAGTAGTGTTCCTTCTTTTGTATTACGGACTTTTTATTTGTAAAAGATATTTATTGCATAACATATTTTGCATGCTTTATGTTCATAGGTCATAGTACCAACTGATATAAAAATTGAGTTAATCAACCAGCTTGCCAAAGCAGGATTGCCTGTCATAGAAGTGACCAGTTTTGTTTCCTCAAAATGGGTACCTCAGGTAGGTAAACTGCATGTTTAAGTGGAATTCTGAAATCAAACGAGTAGTCATAAAAAATCAACATTGTTGAATTTTTTCACATCCTAGCTTACATTATATGTGAAAAAGAAGGTGGAATTGAGCTAATCTGTTTTGTAAAATAATCTGCTGCAATACTACTGTCACAGGCCGGCTGGGCACTGTGAGCATATCAATTTTATCACAGGCCAACTGGGCTGTTTGATTCAGTTTTGGATCGAGGAGGCAAAATTGGGAGTGGAATAAAGGGAAATTTATTATAGCTTACACACACACAACAGTTAACAGAAAGATAAATGCGATAAGCAGATAAGGCAGTATAAAAGAGCTGATAGTAAATAATAACAACAGATGATAATAACAGATAGATAGATAGATCAATCTGTCACAGGCCAACTGGGCACTGCGAGGGTATTAGCCACACTGGGCTGTTCAAAACAACAAATAGACAGACATGGGCTGGCAACTTATCGATAGTCCCGCAATGCCAAGTGCGCGCCAAGTGATTCCAGCGAAATCAGGTGTCCATGATGATTGATGCTGTCAGAGGGATTACCGGGGAAGGTCCCTTGCTCAGGATCCAATCCTCACTCACACCGGGAGTCCGGGGTCTGGGCGTGGGACAGAAATGACCGTTCTGTTCTCTCCTTCCTGCTGGTTACCTGATGCATGTGTTTTTTATACCTAGTCTTATGTTAATCTGTTGGCCTCAGGGTCACTCACAATGTTGCCCTATAGCTGTTACCCTGTGGGACTGAAAGGTGTTAAAATTATCATAAAAGGTTACTACTTAGACTCAGGTTTATCCAATAAGCAAATTATGATGCAGCACCTTTAGGTTTTAAATTGACATCGCTCCGCCTAAATCCCAACCCTTTTTAGGCTTCATTTGAATATGCTTTCTTGGGATATGCTTTCCTGGAATGTGTTGGGTGTGCCAAGCAGTTGGATTCAGTTTTTATCATTAAGGCTGAACCCTGAGCAAAAAACCGTTAGGCCAGCTAATCTCATAGCTACAGTTTTGCCTGTGGGGCCCAGTTAGTTCCATTTTGGTTTTCATTTTGGTTAAACTTATGACAGACAAGTTACATTTTCAGTTTAGAAACTTATAAGCTAATATTAACTAATATTACCTGTTTAGGCAAAATACCAAATGCCTCCAAGAAGCACATATTATTGCTTATTAATCCCTCTGGTTCTGGCTGTCACATACCACTCACAGTTCAAAAGCCTTAGATTTCCACCTACTCCATAGAAGACTAGGTACTAAGGTACCCAAACATTGAAGTACCTTTAAATATTTGGATCTTCCAGTTGCTTTTTAGGGTGAATTCCAGTGACTAATACTGAGGTCTTGTAACATGGACGCTTTATTTCTCTTGGGCATTTGGAACTGGAAGGTTTTAAAACTGAAAAAAACTGTTGGTGTCTATATGGATTTTTGGCGTCTTGGATGATCCAACAAAGAATGAAGGTGTTTCAATGCTAAGTCTTGTATCACCTATTTTTTACCTGCCAGGAGGCATAATGGAATCTACAGCCCTGAGTTAGGTATCCAGCCTTCTTATAAAATGCCTGAAGTTAATTGTTTCACTCGCACTGAATGTGGAGCTGCCTAAGCTAATTTGTAGGACATGCTGAAAAGGAACTGAGTGCTAATTCTAGCCTGCAGAAAGAAACTTTCCTACTCTCAGGATTCACAATCCTAAACTCTTTTCTGGAGTTAAATCCCTAATCCAGCTCTTTTAAAAAAAATATGGGTAGGAACACCCTTTAACAAATGGTGCAAAACAAACACCAACAGACTCTCCCTACTGCCTGAATAAGGGTGTTTGTGTCTGAAAGCTTGCAAAGAACAATTTTTCCAACTATTTAGTTGGTCTAATAAAATATATCACATATACCCAAAGAACCATCTGCCTAGGTCCAGTAGTTGAGCATCTACCTAGGATATGGGAGGTGTGGGTTAAATTCATTTGTTTGTCTGAAAGGATTTGAGCCTGTATCTGGAACATGAATGCTCCAAAATGATATTCTGGTGTGAGGCTCTATCAAAGCTTTTCCATTTAGCCTGGAATAATTAGTCCCTGGGCTGGAGAGATGTGATAATGGATAGGGAACTTGCCTGTAAAGGGGCAGACTTAGGTTCCAGTCATTGCTATAATGAATATTTAAATATTTTTAATTAAGTTGTCATTGGAGCAGGGACTGAAATTTCAGGCTATGTACAGGCATTACATTTCTGCTGGGAGACCTGCCACTCTCCTAGTAGAAACTAGGGCCCCTGGCATATGTTCATTTTATGGCCTGATGATATCTGATTCCATATCCCAACAAAAATGCATGGCAGTATATGTGATTTTAGGATAAGGTATCAGATCTCAATTGTGCTTGCCAGTACAAGGGGAGCCCAGGGTCCCAGGCTCCTACTGAACTACCAAGTTGAAAACTAGGTGGCTGTAATATGACTGAACAATTTTAGGTCCCAGGCCTGGGACCACAGTGCAGCCAGTTCAAGACTCCAGTGCAGTCTTTGGGCTGGGATAATCAGCTGATTGTGAGTCTCAACTGCAAGATTGCACCAGAGGTGGTTCAAAGCTCAGATGTAGTCCCAGGGCTGAGACTAGCAATCAGTTGATCCCAGCCCTAGAACTGGGAGTCTTGAGGAGCTTTGGTTACACTATCATACGTTCAGTTGAAGGTGTGTTGGAAACCAGTCACAAAAATGTTACAGATCCTTTGTGGAATGGTGTTGTATTTAGTATCCTGTTTTGTCACACCTTTAATTCCTTGACTATGTAGCAGATGCAATTTGTGATGTGATTAACAAGTTAATTGCATCTTAGTTGTAATATTTGCTAGGGACCTAGGGGCATACAAGTATTGATTCAGTTTCTTCTAGGGGAAAGATCTCCCCTGCAAAAAGGATCTCCCCTGCATCTTTACATCTGGAAGATCTCCCCTGCAAAAAGACTTTCAAAGGAATGAACACCTGTACCCTCCTTTTCTGGTCCAGTCCAGGAGGGAAATCAAGCAGCAGGGCGATGCTGCCTCGGCTTCATAAGATAAAGAACTTGCCTAATTTGGGGAATGGGCTGGGGGAACATTGCCCCACTGCTCCACTCCCTTGCTGGTTCAGGCTGTTCTGGGGAATGGGCAGGAGGCTTTACCCTAGTGCTCTGTCCACTGCACTCATAAAACTGCAAGCAGATCAGAGAAACAGCATCCAGTTGCTCCCCACTCATTCCCAAGCTTGGGGGTCTTTTCACACGATTCCACTCCCAGCTGGGCCTGAAAGGATTAGAGTAGCTGCTATACTCCTTCCTTCCCCAGATCTGTGTCACGCTGGTCTGGAGAAGATGTGATGAGCAGGGGAGAAAATGTAGCTGCAGACAGAATGTCTCTACTGCTCCCTCTCCAAGAAATATTTCTAAAGGTGAACATTTTTCAGAAATTTCCACCTCCTAGAAATGAACACGTGTTCCAGGCCTAAGTATTTCCAAGAGGTGAGTGCAGAGAATCACCAAGTCATAGAGCAGGGGTGGGCAAAATATAGCTTGCAGGCCAGATTCAGCCTGCCAGGCAATTCCGTCTAACCCACCATAAGCCCCCTGTAAGCCCTAATCCTCGCTGCCCCAATGAAAGCCGGTCTCCATGCAGGAGGTGCGGCTCTGGTTGCTAAGCAACCAACCCTCACCTCAGCCAGGCCTTTGGGCATCTCGGGGCCCAAGTAAGAGAGTGCTGGAGACAAGAAGCCTCTACATGGCAGAGGCTTTTTGTTACCAAATTTGCCCATTACTTTGGGGTGTGCTCATGTATTAGGGATAGTTTCTAGGGTCTTGGTGATTCTTTCAATGTGCTGCTTGTGTTACTATATGGAGCTGTATTTCTCCCTTCTGCAAGCCCTCACCCCCAATGGAGCTATCTTGCAGGATTCAATCTCAATGGGCTGGGTTCCTCCAGTCACCAAATCAGTCATACACACAAACACACACAAATTAACGTGACACGCCTGACCTGGCCGGGCTGATCAGCATGGACAGGCTGACACCCTCATATGCCAAGAATCAGTTCATAAGAGCAACAATAAAATGCAGTCAGACACAAGCGCACAGGTAAACAGAATCCCTCTGAATCCGGCTGGGTGTCCAGCTGACACCCTCATGGGCCAGCATTCAGTTCATAAGGGCACGTCTGAGTCAAACTGGGTCAATCAGCCTATACAAGCTGATCCCCTTATGTGTTTCAAACTCAGCACGTCCCAATCTTTGGCCTCTTGATGAGCAGACCCCACAATAATTTGGGCTTCACAGGGATCTTTAGCATAGGTAAAAGAAGCGTTGCTGCAGAGCACGGGAGGAAAGAGAAGCAGAGAAGGAAAAATATACCCAATTACTACCAGTTTGACTATAAAAGTTATTTATTGCTAAGCATATGAAATATATAATAGTACTAGTAGTAATAGACATGCAAAAGAAAAACAAACACCAACAATGACAATACTACCCTGGTTTCACTAAGTATTTGGGGAAACTTAGCTCAAGCTTAACTGATACAGTTCAGGTTCAGAAGTTTATGCCTAGAAAGAAGACAGAGAACGCTGGGATCTCACCTAGTCCACGGTACTCAGGCTGCAAAGCTGACAGGCACAGTCTGTAGCACAGTCCTTGAAGGGAGAGATGATCTGTTCTTCCAGCGTCCCAAGAACGACAGGGGATGGTGTCAGCACAGGGGTTTTCTTCTTCTCCTTCTTTCTTCCTGCTTCTACTTCTTTTCCTTCCTTTTCCTCTTCTTTCCTCTTTTTCCTCTTGCAGCACACACACTTACAGATTTTTATACCCTCAGTTCAGCTGCTCCGTAGCACCCTCAGTAGTGTAAATCATTGTCTTTTCTATTGACAAGGGGTTATCTGGTTTGGACCATCTCAGGAAACTGATTGATAATCAGGAAACACTTAAGATTAGGGAGTAACCCAAATACTT